CAGGCCATTTAACCATCCAAATGATTTCTAAACGGGTTTATTAAGCTGAAAAAGTTGCCAAGTTCCCCTTTAAACTACGCCTGAAAAAAATGTCAAATGTGAGACTTTAAGGAACATTTTTGGGCCACAATAATTATTACAAAAGTGTGAGATCCTAGAGGGACAGTGAAAAGATGTAACACAGTGCTGAAGACACTCATTCAGACAGTTGATTGGCTACTACACCTCTCTGTGCTACATGGCTTCACAGTGATGATTAACTGAGCTAATCTTTTCAGGAGATGTTTATAAAATTGAAGATATTCAGACGTCTAGACTCTTGATCGGGACTCGTTCCGGAGGTCTACACGTCGGCGGGGTCACCGTGGAAACAACCTGAAAAAAAGACAACTCTGGATATTACAGCAGGAAAACATTTGTCCTCCATCTCAAAGACAAACTATATAATTGTTCTCTTTATGCTACATTCGGTGAAAACGTGGACAAAGACACTCCTAAAGAACACGCCGGTGACGCTACACTAACTCACTCTACCTGTGTGAATCCTGTCTTTCTCCAGGCTGCTTAGACTTGAAATACTTTGTTCGAGGGACATCTAAGAGTCAGGATTTTAGTTTAAGCTCATCAGTTTTCTGCTGAAGCTTTATTTCTCAGTGTTTTCACATGGACACGTCATCAGTGATGTAAACTATGGTCACTCTTGGTTCACCTCTCCCAGGGAACCAAGAACTCCTCTGTCAGGTTTCTGAAGGGGAGCCAGGGCTCACCTGTACAAGGTGATGCTGCGTTCAAGGTCGTCCCAGTCACCATCATAAGAACATAAGAACTTGTTCACACTGTGCGACCACAAGAGATTTAAAATGTTTTTAATGTGGAAAAAGTTCAAACTGTTGCAGCTTTGTGTTTGACTGATTCTTGTGATTGGGGACATTGAGTCTCATGATCTGAAGTCACCCTGAAGCTCTTCTTTATTTATTTTATTATTTATTTCTGTACTCTCAAACAGCAGTGGTGAAAAACAATGTCGATGTCAGCGAGATAAAGCTGTTTCTATGTTTACACAATTATGTTGGGTCTTCTTTTTGGGGTTGACTGTACCCAAAAAGCTTTTACACCAAGTGTAACTCTTCTTCAGCGGATATCTGCTCATGTGTTATATGGTTATTATTTATGTACATTGTCAAGTACTTATGGAACTTTGGCGTCATGATAACAGGTGGACATATATGACAGTAACTCATGTCTCAAACATGGTTTCTAGCATCGAGTGTGAATGTCCACTGACTCCTACTGGATGATGTTGAGCCCTGTACACTCTTGAAAACTCAACTGCAACTTCACCGGTGTTCATTAGTTACCTGTAATTGTGTTTAGTAGCAGAGATGTCATGTGTCTCACCTAACGGCCCCAGGCCATGATGATGAAGGTTGGTTTTTCCTCTTCAAATGTGACAGATCTGCGTCTCCTATTACTTCGACTGCAGCTCTGGGTTAAAGTTAAAGACAGACAGAGAGAGAGAGATACAGTTAGAACCAACACTGATATAGATATTTGTGGATAAGATCTCCTTAAATCTGACAGTTTTCAGCTTTTTGGTCACATTGGTGATGTAGCTCTGTGGATAGCTATTGGCTGGTTGTCCCATCACACATTTGTCTGGTTTGCGCCCCTTAGTTTCAAAGCAGGAAAATCTTAATTCCACAGCATACAATTATATTTTAGTCAATATTGTGCTTCCAACTTTGTGGCACTTTGGGGAGAAGACCCTTGTGTACAAAGCCACCTCCATAAAGAGATGGTTTTCCATGTTTGGTGGGGAAGAACTTGGCTGGTCTGCACAGAGCCCTGACCTCAACCCCATCCAACATCTCTGAGATGAACTGGAACACCAACTCTGAGTCAACCTCACTTATGGTACTATCGCTGTAAATCTCTGCAGTCTTGTTACAAGATCTGGTGGAAATCCTTCAGAGAAGTAGCAGATCAATGGCTGCGATGCATGCAAGCAAGCAAATGGTGTGTTTCTGTATTTGGTTGTGTTTTGTTAGATTTATTGTCAATTTGGTGAAGATGTTTTCTTAATTTGCTTCTGTTTTTGTCAATTTGAATATGTGTTTTTTAATAAGCATATCAAAGGTGGGTGATGCTGATTTATCTGATTGTTAATAAAAACCACAGCAGCAGCCTGACACATCTGAAAACTGATGCTCTTGTTTAACACCCTGAGGATGAAGGGTAGCTTGTTCTCGTGTCCGTGAGTATTTTTGTGGACGTACCGGGGTGCAGGTCTCGTTGGCTTTGACACATAGGCTTATTGAGCAGTGCAGGAAGACGTCTCCAGATTTCCCACTGAAATGGAACATTTTGAAGGAGAAGTAGTTGGATGCACTCTCTCCGTTGCCCTCTACAGTCACAGTGTTGTCGGCAGGGTTTGCACAGCTGCTCAGAAACAGACAAACACACCTGACATCACCAAAAGGACCACTATAGCACTCATCAGAAACTGAACCCTTTCAAGACCCCTCATAGAACATATTTAGCTTTCAACATAAATTTGTAGCAAACACCATCTGGATGCTGTTCTAGCTGAGTCTGTTTTCTCTGTGGGGTTCTGCAGGGATCCATTCTTGGACCATTATTATTCCTTATTTATATTAATGATTTATGTTTGCAGATAACACAACTGTACAAATATTATATTGCAATGGGATATTTCCCCACGGGGATTATTAAAGTATTTCTGATTCTGATTCTGATTCTGATATTGCACTTTATTGCGATATTAATAATAATTTGATGAATTCTGCAGCTCTACTGTCGGCATGAGAGATGGGTTCACTGTGGTAAGACAACATCTCACATTTCATTGATTTATTAAGCCAACGATATTGTGGCACCTGATTGTATTAACCTGCTTGTTTTAAGCAATAACGCTCTGGTTTCACTAACTTTGGCCCCTACAAAGGTTTACAAAAAAAAAAATTATAATATTTTGTCTTGATTTCCTCTAAAAAGGTTTATGGATTTGATAAACATACAAAAATATTGGTTCTGATTACATAAAGAAATAATGGTGAAACAATAGAAAAACTCTAAAATGCTCAAGAGGTTCACATAATTTCAAGCAGCACTATACATCAGATACACCAATTTTATGTTTTTATATCAATATTGTTGTTGTTGTGATGCATTTTTTCTTTTTATTAGTTTGCTGCAACTTTTACTGTATTTTCTGTAAGGAAAATCTTGTGTTTTTTGTAAATGTTACCTTTGTTAGAGGCTTTAAATAAGCCCACCTGGGTTTTCTGCCTCTTCCTGCACTGTATATTATTTGTTGTCCTGTCAGTTTGATGTATCTTTTAACTGTGCAAAATAGAGACTAAACTAAACTACTGATTCAGAATAATTAGGTTGATGAAAGCTTAAAACATTAATTGATTGAAAGCTGACGACCAACCAATAAGTGATCTAAACCTTTTAATCCAGAACTTCCTACTCACAAAAATTCTCTCAGCTAACAACACCAGTGAAAGTGATTTTGGGGGTTTATAAATAAAACTTTATTGGTTTCCCCCGTGCCAACAGACTGGATAACCACATCAGTGCGTCTCTCACCTATCGATGATGAGGTTGTATCTCAGACTCGAATTGGGCGATGGTTCATTGGTTGCGTAGCAGGAGTGCGTCACTAAAGCAACCTGATCATCCAGAATGTCCGCCTTCAACTCAAACCAGATCTTCTGGTTCAGGTGGAGCGTGCTGTTCGCATCCACAGCCTGTGTGCGGTCGGGGTCGCTGTAGGCCTTCATGGTCACAGTGGTGTTCCAGTATCCAAATGTAGCATACGCGACCGTGGAGCTGTACGAACACACACACACACACACACACACACACACACACACACAGATCAGCTCTCTTATAATCACAAAGTAATGAAACCTTTAAACCTTTACAACTACATACTCCTCTCTGAGTGTATCAGTGTGTTCAGCTGACATTTAATATTCTTTATATTATTAATCCATACTAATAAAAGGCATTTGATGTTTTATTTTATGAAATCAGTGTGATCACTGGGACTTTGATTTAAGCTAATGGTCTATGACGATAGTCTTAAAGGTTCAGTGTGTAACATTAAGGAGGATCTATTGGTAGAAGACTGGAATATAATGATTGAATAGGTATGTCTTTCCATTAGTGTATAATCACCTGAATACTGGACCTTTAAGGGATTTATATTTTACCAACAAATGTTATCATTTGGGATCAGAAGAAGTTGGTCTAACATGTTTTCAGATTAGAATAGATAGTATTCCCAACAAGATTCAGGTATTTACATCTTCAATTTGGGGATCATTGTATATCATCATATTACATTATATATATTATATATTCTACCTGACCCACAGAGAGAGGAGTTGGAGAAACTTTGTGTTTTGTAATGTTCTGTGCAACAATATGTTGTGGAACCCCCCCCCAAGGACACACCTGTTGGTGTTGTCTTTGATTTTGATTTCCATAGAGAAATTGAAGCTTATATCTGGAATAACAATGGGACAGCTGAAGTCGAGCAATTCCTCGTTGTTAGACGACACCATGATGCCATTCTTGTTCATAAATTGGCTATCGTTGCTCATCTGAAAGGTCACATGGAGTCAGACATTGTTACTGCAGAAAACCTTCATCTTACAGTTTATTCATCTTACATCTGAATTTCTTTAGACATTCACTGTTGCTAACTGAGTCCGGCCCATTCTCCACACTTTATGCACTCTTTGCGTACAAAACTAAGTCCGTGAAGGTTCGGGGCTTAGGCATTACGGTGGAGATTGGGATTGGTCCAATGAGTCTCACAGATCATCAACATTACAAGAAAAACCAGGGAGTCACAGGTCAGACTACAGTATAATGATTAAAAACTACAGAGGACATCTGGCTGCTTGTTGAGAGTCAATAAGTAGAAGAGAGACATTCACCTTGATCATCGTCCCACAGGGGTTGGCCTCGGTGTCAAAGGCTATGGTCACCATGTGGGTCACGTTGTCCTGTTCAGCTCTGCATGAGCTGTCATAGAGGTGTAATTCAGTGTAGTGGATGTTTCTGTCCTCCAGGAGACAACCAACCAGAGTAGCATACGGAGAAGTGCCATTGCACACCACCGAATAACCTGAACACCAGGACACGCACAACAGTTAGTAAGTAAGTCAAACATGCAACAAACGACAAAAACTAAATACAGCACTAATAAAACATTTCAATATTAAAAGTGTTCTGAATGTAGAAAGGCTGAAAATGCATTTATATAATTTATATGGACACAGCACCAACCCCAGAATACTGTTTTAATAACAGAAACAAATCTGGGTGTGTTAAGGCTCCATGGCTCCAGAAACCTTTTTTAACTTTGCGTCTATACAGGAAATGGGGATGTGTTTGTGTATAAATAACAACCACTATTTCCTTACCTGTGCTATTTAGATCAGATCTGCACAGCATCATGGTAAAATGGTAAATGGTAAATGTACCTCCACTACGTGCCACATTCACCCTTTCACCAGCACATTCACACAGTGATGGCAAAGCCATTCCCAAACCGGAAACTAACTCATTTTACCACACGTCACAACGTGGGTGGCGTCTGGATTGCGCCGAGATCCCGGCGGCGGCAAGCCGCCAACTCAAACGGAAACTACCTCATTTCATACACACTCACACACCAATGCACAGCATCAGGAGCAATTTGGGGTTCAGTATCTTGCTCAAGGATACTTCGACATATGGCGGGAGGAGCCGGGGATTAAACCAACAACCTTCAGAATAGTGGACGACCTGCTCTTCCTATTACAAGGTATTTTGTCCAAGTTACATTACCAATAAAACAATATATTACATAGTTGGGTGAAAAGTTGTATTTTACAGCTTTAGGACCAACAATTAAGGCTTTAGGTATTAACAATAATGCACTGTACTGTTACTGTTACAGCTAATGTACTAGACTACTGCAACATAGAGCAGTAGCTTCCAACCCTTTTTCCTTAAGGGACCCCTTTTCTATCACTGACGACCCCTGACATGTGATAGATTTTGTGGATATTTCATATTATATCAAAAACTGTACAATGAACCAAAATAGTGAACTCAGTAACTGCAGGAAGTTTGTGTAAAACGAGTGATTTTTGGTGAATTTTGAGCAGATTATTTACTGTTTTTTTGCAATTCTCTGTCTGTATTATATATTTGTATAATTTTTAGCAATCATACATACTTAAAAGGCTTATATTTAAAAAAAAATCAGGGGTTTCTTCTAATTCTTCTATTAGCTCTTTGGTTGTTTTAACTTCTCTAATGCAGGACAAGGCTGTTTATCAGAGAGTGAAGGCTCTGTGAATATAATTTGTGTTCTGGTCTTTAAAGTTTCGATCTTAAATAATAATCTAAACTGTAAAAATAACTATTTAACTTACTTTACATTTACTTTTCTTTCATAGAAAGTAACCAAATGCTGAGATTAAGGCATGCTGTGTATAGTTACAGTTGTAGGGTAAGTAGAGATGGTGCAACTAAATAAATTGGCAAGTTTGGTGTAAAACTATAGATTGTCACTTGTGTTACGGCCGTCTTACCTAAAGAGTTTTGGGATCTGTAAGGGGAAGCAAATATGGCCCGACAGTGACAACGGGTTCCATTACTGGTGCTGTTATCGCCGCAAAATTCATGAGCACTGCAGAACTGGTCCTGACAGAAGGCCTGAGGGTCTTCAGCTGCAGAGAGAAAGAGAGAGAGACAGAGTTGATGTTACAGGCTGAAGGAAACAGAACAGCAGAACAACACATGAAACTGGTTCTGTATGGAGCCATTATTGTACCAAAACTATTTACAAATGTGAGTTTAAAGTTGTGTAACTGTCTCAATCTATGTGTGTGTGTAATCAGATTTGTAAATGTGTAAAATAATCTACACTAGCTTTTGTCTTTTCATCTTCCTCAGTGGATGAATTCTACTGACTGTGGTGATCACTTAAAGGACGAGTTTGGAGGATTTAATGGCGTTAATGCAGCTCAGCCTTGCAAGCAGGGTTTGAGTCATGTGAGACCCAGTGGGAGCTCCCATAAAAGCACATAATGCATTTTTTCCAGTGTAATGAGTATTATTTGTCTCTGTATTGACTGTTTGCTTTCTTGGATTTACAGCTCACAAAAACTGAGGCATAGGATAGGAAACTGTGCACCCACAGCCAACAGCGTGTAAAATAATAACACAGACGATCACATGATGATAAAAAGGGCAGAATGGCGTTTTCCTCTGAGAGTCAGTAATTTATCGGTCATAGGTGTGGGTCTATTACTCACCTTAATACTAAGGGATGGAGAGGGTGGATGGCAGGTTAACAAGGGAGATGTATTTTAGTAATTTTGCTTTGAAGAGGGATGGTATCCATCCTCGAATCGCCTACTGACTATCCCTGAGTAGAGCCTCACAGAGCCACTAGCTGATTCTAAGAGAGCTGACCCCTTAAATTATATCATGCTTTCTTTGTATAACTCAGCACTGAAGGGCTCTTACAGCAGTTGGCCTTTGTCCTCCAGCCCGCCAGTGTGTCATTGATGTACAGGCTGGAGGCTCTGGCATAGGCCTCCAGGAACTGACACTTGAGACCGTCCACCGCAGGATATTTGCACAAAGTGTAGTTGCAGGCGGTTATGAAGGGGTCCGGTTTGATGTTGCTGTGAGAGGTGTTGAAGGGCGCCTCCTTCAGGAGATTACAGCTGTTCCAGTGAAGCAGAGACGGGGAAAAGTGTGAGATGGAATATAAACAAGCATAAACAAGACATTTGTAGACATTTTCTGAACACATTTATTATTAATACATGTAAGTTAGTGGCCGCGACTCTACTGGAACCAGAGGGAGCCATGGGATCCTGCAAAACCGTGGCCACTACACAAAAATGTCAGCTGCATCCCTCATCAGACCCTGTACAAATGTGAGTGTTTCATCTGGGTTCAGGTGTGTTTCTGCTTACTATTCAGCTGTCTTGTTGCAGTCGATCGTACTGTTAGTGGTGTCCACGTACTGCGTCTCACACCTGGGGGCAACAAATAGCAGAGGATCAGGACTGTTCTTCTACTACGTCATAAACAAAGCACCCAAACATCCAACCACTAACAGCAGTAACTGGTTCAGCAGTCAGTTGTTGTGATGCAGGTCTTACCCGCTGGCACTGTAGTTAGAGGATCTGGCTTCACTGATGCTGGAGTTGCCACATAAACCCTCCACAAATGGAACTTGTCCACTTGGTCCTGGTCAGTTTCAGGAGAGAATCTGATCAATAAACTGGCCGCACACTAAAGCACAGCATCCAATAGTTGATTTAAAAACAACAATCACAACATGGCAGCTTCTGAAGATACAAATAATAATTCATTATTAATTAATTAATTTCACCATCTCACCTGCGGCTGTTTGCACACTATGTGATGGGCAGTAAGGCATTACTAGTAATAATATAACCTTCCCCAGTAACAAGTAGTGCAGCTCAGTGGTTCCCAACCTGGGGGTTGTGACCATTAATAGGGGTCATCAAAGCTTTGTGAGGCCTTCTTGGCTTTGAGGGGCCTAAGAAAACGTATATCTCTACATTTCATTGATTTCTATGAAGAAAACTACATTAAATTGTTATTTTTTTATTTTTAAAGTTTAGATTTGTATTTAATACCTAAACTTTGAAGATGAACACAAACTGTAATCACAGAGTCTCGTCCTGCATTAGAGAAGTATGCAGTTAAAATGACCACTGACATAAGCCACCCACAAAGGCTCTGACTGAAGTACAGGTAAAACTAGATGTGCAGCTGCATTGTGGAAGATTGAGAGACTTTTGATATTGGGGGTTTAAATCCAAGAATCACTGCAGTGTGTGTTCTGGGAGTGTTTTATAGATAGATAGATAGGATAGATAGAGTAGATGTATAGATAGATAGATAATAGATAGATATGATAAGATAGATCAGATAGAAGTAGATGATAGAATAGATAGATACAATACATACAAAAATAATATATTATAAATAGAAATATTTAAATTAGAATGTGAAAAGAAAAGATAAGAATATTGTATAAATATGATCTATAATATCAAAATGGTTATATTAACACATATCACATATGATAGTGAAGTATATGTTCCAGTATTGTGGAGTGGAGTGTTTTGTACCTTTAATGTGTATCTGTGCGGTGTAGCCATCAAAGAAGACCGTCACTGTGTAGTTCGAGTGGGACATCTTGGCGCTCACTCCGGTCTTGTTCTTAGAGAGCTCCACACCGTGAACCACTTGGGCAGTTGTGTTGAGCATCATCGTTGTGTTGTCCAGCTGCGGCACAGCAGAAGGAGAAACTTACATTATTAACACTGCTGTGTTTCTGGTCCAGTGGCGTATTTCTATGGCTCGACTAGAGTAGATAATGTCATCAGCTGAGTGAGAAGCTGTGATTTATAAAATGAGAAATTAAAAGGTTCAGACTACTTTCCATCCACAGTATTATAAATTATTAAGGATTTAATGATACAACTCATGATACTGGGTTTACAATCAGGATTTTCTCACAGTTTAAAAAGAATAAATTATGATAAAGACAAAGATCTACTAAACTAATGTTTTCTCTTATTTATTTCTGAGGTTGAGTATAAGCTGCGTTTAGGTGCCTTGCTCAAGAGCATCTCGGCAGTGCACAGGAGGTGGAACTGGCCCTACAGGCGGAGCTACTGCTGACCCAAAATGTAATCATGTAATCAGGATTTTTTTAAAAGGTAACTGTAATCCATTACATTTACAGATGTAAAAAAAAAAAAAAATGATGTAATCAGATTACAGTTACATTCAGGATTATAATTTCAGTTTTTCTTTAAAAATACAGAAAGACACATTTTAAATGATAAAAGATTACATTGTTCTGTTGTCTTATATGATATTTATTCTCTGTTGTATTCATTTGCATAGTTGGTGTTGAGGTAAGTGTTTTTTTTAAATATTTTTGTTGGGCTTTTTATTGCCTTTAATTGATAGTGACAGCTAAAGAGTGACAGTAAAGGGGAGAGGGGGAGAGAGAGAGATAGTGAGGGTGACACTCAGTAAGGGATACAGGTCGGATTCAAACCTGGGCCGCTGCAGCAAGGACTCAACCTTTGTTCATGGGGCATCAGCTCTACCAGGTGAGTTATCCCAGTGCCTGACTACATTTTTTAACAGGTAATTAGTAATAGTTTTAGCTTATATTTTTACAGCAACCTTCCCAACCTTGCCTGGGTGTCATAGTAAAGGTCAACTCACACTAGCTTTTTAAAATGGCAAAATCCTGGAGCAAAATTAATTAATTATCAACAATCTCAACACAAGAGGATCCTGTACTGACTCCATGCTGCTCACCTGAACTCTCCCGCCTTGTTCCAGATAAATATGAACACCTGGATTAACCAGAAACAGGATCACACTGTCCAGAAAACTAACATCTTGACGGCGTCGTTCCTTGAATGTGGCGTGAATCAGTAAATCTGGGATTGATGAGGTGTTCATCAGAGTGTACCCACACCGGTCCTCGATATAGCTGACAGAGCTGTGGACATCAATGACAGTGGGGCCGGTCACGGTGCACAGGACACACCTGGTGGAGGTGGAGAGGGACAAAATACCTCTGTCAGCATGAGAACAGATTTACTGATGGTTCTGCATCGATTACACAACAGCTTTATGTCTACGTTCACACATGTGGCCCCAAATCTGACTTTTTTTTGCTCATATGTGACTCAGATCTGATCTCTATGATCCAAAATCATAGAGAATCTGATCTTTTCAGTTCTGATTTGGAACACTATCATATGAGACTTTTATGTCACTCTGGATCTACGTTCTTCATGTGTTGTCACCTGTAATGACACTGTTATCTGATATGACCCACAATGAACACATAATGTGAAAAAAAATCAATCAGATTTGACCCATTATTAACACTCGATCACTAAAGTATTGCAGTGTGAATGTAGCCTGGGGGACTTCGACCCTAATTAACCAAATCTGGTCAAATGTTTTCTCTATTCACACAAACAAACTTCCTCTGTAGCAGTTAAGGAGTTTAAGTCATTGTTTGGCCCTCGTGGTAAAGTTACTTAAACATTGTCATAGCATTTTCTATTAAATATAAATAAACATATTTACTGATCTCCCTGGCAGAGCTCCTCTGAGCCACAGGTGCTGAAATGGAGCACAGCAGTCAGGTAAACCACCAAACGAAGCATGTTGGAGGCCGGTCGCAGAGCTGGAAGACACAAAATATTATATATGGTTATTTTAAACATTCGGTACGAACAGGAAAGATTATTACAGCAAGCCAGCTTTAATCCACATATGGGAACCTGATTATTGTTTTAGTAAATTACAATCAGCTCCACCTTTTTTTTTTCCACCTTACATATTATTGATCACTAAAAGTAAAAAATATGATACTGCATGATGAACTTCTATTTTTAATTCTATTATTAAACTTTTATTTAGACAGGTCAGATTATATACTTATGATCCCTGTATACGCTCTCTCAAGATTACGTAGATAATTTATACTTTTATACTCTATCCCTCTGTGGTATGCATTATGATGCCAGTTAGGAAAAAAATGTTTGGAGTGTTTTTATGTCTTAAAATAGACTAAATAAACATAATCTAAAGAACTTTTATAAAAAATATATATTTTTTTTAATTTTGGGGGTTGTTGCCTGTAGGCAACATTGTACCATAATGGTGCTAAAGTGAAAAAGAGAGTTTTTTTTTTAATTTGAACATAATTTATTTCATAAACATGTGTAAAAGATTCAATAGCTTCAACAGGTTACAATACATGCCATTTTAAATTGAATTAAAGGGTTTCTTGTCTGAACGTTGCCTGTAGGCAACATTGTACCATTGTGGAACAACCACTGAAATCGAAATGTTTCGAAGAGTTGTAATTTAAGCGTAAGCGTAATTTCATAAACCTTTAAGATGAACTAACCTAATCAAGAAAAAGATCATAAATCATTTGCAAAACAAGAAGCTGGTGTAAGATTCCAGTGTTTGATCATCCACTCCTTCCAATTTCAATGGCATGTTTCCTATCAGTCCTCTGTGTTCTTTCCTGACATGCGTTGCCATCATTTGTGGTTGTTTGCTGCTCAATGCTTATGGGAACCCCCCGCCATGGAAAGCACCGTTTTTTATCAGGAGTGAAGCACCAGCCTACGGTGACGACATTTGTGCACTGCACTTCCACTATACGACCTTACATCTCCAGGCGCTGATTGTGCACCTTGCCCCTTTTTCTCCGCACCAAATAGGTCAAATAGTCAGTGTTCTCCTGACGCACAGGTTATGATGGCACTGCATTTCATCACTAATGAATCCTTATTCAAACTTCACAAATCAACTTGAAGTGTGATTTCTACCCCTCTACCCTCCCTTAAAGTGGGTATAGAATGAGGTTAAATTAATTCTGTAAATGGAGGAAAATGTGTGGAAATTTTAAGCAAATAAGACAAAGTTATAAGGCTAAATAAGGCAAAGTTCACTATGGCCTATAGAGTATAGTTATTCAGGAGGGAAACACAGCTAGGTCTGAACTTTACTTTACTGCAACAAACATCAAATTTATCTTTGTTAAATTGTAAAGATCAGATGCTTTTGAACATTATATATATGCTTTTGAACAAACACACACTACCAAAATCTCATGCTGCCATGGTGATTCCATAATGGTTCACTGTTGCCTCAAGGCAACATATGCAATTGTCCATAATGGTACGTTGTTGCCTCTGGGCAACAGTTGCATTTTATTAAGTTTCCATTATTTAATTAGCAAAAAATTGCATTAAACTATCAGAAATGAAGGGTTAGTCACCTATTAGTATGAATATATTTTTTTCCTGATGGAAAAGTTTCAGGAAATGATGTTTTCAGACCCTTTTTGTGGTGCAAAATGGTAAAGCTGTTTCCTTTGAAAAAGTCTGTAAAAAAAAGTTTCCATATGGCTTCCTGAAAGTCATGTGACAAATTTAAAGCCATTGTTATTGGTCCGCTATGGTCCTCCCTCCTTTTTAAAGGTATAGTATCATTCAAAAAGATGCATTGTGGAGATTTTACAGGCCAAAAATGGGTGTGTTGCCTGAGGGCAACACCATACCATAGAGGGCTATACGTTTATTGTTTGTTAAATTTGTTGTATTTTTACACATTGTGTTACTACTAACCATAAATAAAGGATTTAAGTAAGCTTTCGACCTTAGTGACGCACAAAAGAAGCTCCAGCAAAAGTTCATGTACAGCATTCTTCTGCATATATGCCTGAAGGGATTCGCTGTCATTATCCAACCTGATATCAGAGGTTGTTATGTAGTTTTTCTGTACTTACTTTTTACTTTTACTGCCTACATTTTTACACAATATATGTACTTTCTGCGCCTTACAGTTTAAAAACAGGCTCATTAGTTTAGTTTAATTTAGTTTTGTACAGGGATGCACAATAATTATCAAGACAGATAAATTATCAGCCGATAATTGGAAAGTTATATTATTATCATATCAGTGATCCCAATAATTAAATTACAGCAATTACAGCTTCCCTCTGTGCATTTTTCTACTTGAATTCTGAAATACAAATGTTAGTATGTCTTCCTTTTACAAATTCAGGTCTCTGGTTTAAAGTTTTCCTCGGCTGATCTGCAGAAGAACGCTGAAGATGTACAGAAAAGGATATGAAAAAAAACAAGATGAAATCGTACCCTGACAGATGAAATTTGATGCAGATTGCTCCGTGTCTCTTTTGTCTCCCAGTGTGAAGAACTATGCTCTTCCCCAACCTCTACTCCTGTGTGTCTACTGTGTGACTGATTTGTGAAACACACGCACACACATATTTGTCATGTCTTCAGCACATTACAGAAGTATGTGTGTTGGGTTTAGTCTTCTCTGGGACAAATTCAAAGAACAACAGGACAATGAACATGAAGAAACAGTTTTCATATTTCCGTCTTTGTACAGAATAAATGTGTAAATTGGGCGTAAACTCTTGTGAATGTGAAAGTGAATCCACATATATTTGTTCATGTTTAGTTTCTATTTTTTATTATTTTCTTTTTTTCTTTTTCTGTTTTATATACCCTTCAGGATCTTTTTAAACTTCATCATTATGTTCCCCCACTGGGAAGAATCTTTTCTTATCTTCCCAAAATTATGAATTAACAGTACAGCCGGCCTTTATGAAGCTTATAGTGTTCTGTGGTTCACTACGGTGGACATGAAATACGCTTTTTTTAATCCTAAAAAGGTTAGAAAATCAAAACAAAAGAGAAATTGGATGACACTTATTTCCCTTGGTTCCCAGGAGGGTGTAGGACTGCATTATACTGAGAGGTCTTAAACTACTTTTAGACCAGAGGGTCTAAAAAAACCCACAAACACTAATTACAGAACGCACCAGAATTCTTGTATGCAAATATATGTGAACGGCTCTTGAATGTAATTTAACAAGAAATACTTGTTCCTTGACAACAGTAATGGTTTTTACCCCCAGGTAAGAACTGACTGTCTGTCTGAAGGAGGGTTGGGGATTGTGCAATGGTGGTAATTCCTGACAAGAACTAAGAAGTACTTACAAAATTAGAACCGGCTCCTGGACTGTGTACTGTATCAACATTAACAACATTATACTCAAGATGGCGCCACGAACGGTTGCCTCGGTGTGTTGGTGCGCATTGTTTTTTCTTGTTTTGTGTGTTAATTAAATACTTTAATAATCCCAGGGGGAAATTACTTAATTTTAAATTTTAATCATTTCGGCTGTGATACCAAGAACTCTTTCACTAGAAAAGAGCTCATGAACATCAAGGGAACAACTCCAGCTGATCTCGTTTACCCACTTTTCTTCTTTCTTCCGTCGGAATTATTAATTTATTCTTGTGTGATTTTGTGTGATTTGTATATTTTATGCACCATTAGCACCAAGACAATATTTTTCTTTCTGCGTATGTGTTAAAAACCTACCTGGCAATAAATCTGATTATGATTCTTCTGATTCTGATTAGCTGTCATTAGCCCTGTCAATCATCATAGTGCAGCCTCCAGATTTAAATAAAAAGGGAGAGAGAAAGTAAAGAATACAGATTTTGTTAAATATTTATCCTAAATTCAACATTTTCAGGAGACACGTCTGATGATTTGCCACAGTAAAGCACTGGTTCCCAACCTTTTTCCATATAAGGGACCCATTTTCTATCACTGAGTAAACTGACAACGTCTGACATATTTTATGAATGTTTTATATTATACTTAATGTATAACAATAACAGAACAGAACAAAACTGATTAACTGTACAATGAACCCAAACGGTGAACACAATAACTGCAGGAAGTTTGTGTGAAACGAGCAATTTGGATGAATTTTGAGCAGATTATTTCCTATGAATGTTGATCAGAGATGAGTTTTTCTGATGTTTTTTTCATTTTTAACAATAATACAAACTTCTTTTTTTGACAAGTCCAGTGTTTTCTTCTCATTCTTATATCAGCTCTTTGGTTGTTTGAACTTTAATGTAGGATGAGGCTGTTTATTAGTGAGTGAAGTCTCTGTGAATATAGTTTGTGTTCAGGCCTTTATCCCGTTTATATCTCAAATAATAATCTGTTTATAATCTAATCTATAATTTAGTTTTCTGCACAGAAATTAAATAAATGCTGAGATATAGGCTTTCAGTGTGAAGCTTCTGGTTTAATGGCTGTTGGAAAACACATTTTAGGTGCATTACCGCCACCTTCTGGATCATGTGTTGATCCTAGAGCATTACATCACCTGAACTCAAGCAAAATGTGTCTAATACACAGTGTTATGTGATTGAAAGTGACATTTTAAGTGTTTATCTCTTCTGATATCCAGGGCAGTATAAAAATACATGCTCCACTTTTTCCTGTAGTCCACTGTCACATTCATCCGTAGCATTATTTATGTTTAATGTAGGCTCACAGTTCAGACCAATATCTCTTCATCAGAGGTAATACCAGGGTTGGGAGGGTTACTTTAAAAAGGTAATCTGATATAATTGCTAATTACCTGTTAGATTACATTGCGATATTTGGATGAGGTTGCTGACTTAAATTGTCACAAAATAACATAACTCGATTACTTTCCATTACTTTTGGGTTACCTCAACACCAAATATGTACATAAAAACGAGAGAAAAAGAAATGTCAATAAGAAGTATTGAGCAAGTGTATTTTATATTTAAGACAACAGAACAATGTAACCTTTGGAAAGAAAATAGAAACAGTTACATTTTATTGTTACCTGATTATGTCACTCCTCATGCCTGAGTAATATAATGTAGATATATAGATTCATTCATGAAGCACTCTATTTGTAACATTTCATCCATTTTTATGGAGCCATTATTGTAGCAAAACGTTTATAAACTGTTGGAGCAAATACTGAAAAAAAATGTATGTCTGCACATTTACATATCTATATACGCATTTACAGATTTGTTCACACGTTTACAGATCTATATACACATTTACAGATTTGTCTACACATTTACAGATCTATATACACATTTATAGATTTGTCTACACAT